ACGAACACCCTAATGTGTATGCACAGTGTAAGCAAGTTTTTTTTGAATAACACCTGACCTCAAACACTTAAAAGTAATTTCCCTAGTAGCCAATCGTTGCCCACCACAGACTCAAAAGTTTTATGCCTGTATAATGAAATACGTATGCATATATGAATGTGTGCATTTATTCGTTGTTYATTGCACAGGTGTTCCATAAGGCTCAAAAGGGGGGATTAGCACTGATTTCAGGTGGTCACACCGTCATAGCGCCGCTACGCGCAACAATGAATTATATACACGTGCATATGTACATATGTAGCCGCATAGGCATGTTTGTATGTATGTTAAGTGAAAATGTTGTTTATTGGTAGGTGCAGCAGTGCACCATTCATATTGTCTGTTGCCAATGAAATTGTTTGTGTAATTATATGCAAAGCGCTTTTAAAATTATTATTTTATTTTTTGTTTTTGTTTTGTGCACACTGCTAACGGGTATGGTAATTTTGGAATGTCTCACAACTGTTGTTATTATTTTGCAACTTAGTTGCTTACAAATGTGCTTTATTTTTTCAATCCAGTTTCGTTATTGAAATTCACTAATTAACAAATTATTACGTACAGTGTGTCAAATAAGTTTGTCGCTGTTGAAATAGTGCAGCATTATATTTTCAATTTTTTTTCTCATTTTGATGTTTATACAAACCATATGTAAAGGTACTCCAAGCCTCAATGATCTGTGGACTATATTAGGTGCGCAACCAAGTTATATATTTTTTTTAATGAAAATGTAATTTATTGTAAGGAAATAGTTACAAATGAACTTATTCGAAGTATTGCTCATCGCTAGACACAACCTTTTTCCAACCTTTTTGGCAAAGCACGAATACCACCGGTATAGTTCTTTTTCAATGCTGAAAATGTAATTGTAAATTAGTATTATTCTGACTTCTTTGTCTTCAGCCAGAATTTTCTAATAAAAAAGTCTTTCTAAAGCAATTATTATATTACATATTTGTTATAAAGAATTTTTATTCATATCCGAGGCTGTCAAAATAATACTTCTGTGAGTACAGATATTTCTGAGAGCATTTTAGTTATCTATATGTGAACTGAAAGGAAAATATGTACTCTCCAGTTTATTTTTTCTGGCACAGACAACAGACATACAATCATATTTTTTTAAAATAACTTTTTCTACTATAATCTTTCCGCATATGAAGGACGTTTCATCCAAAATTCAATACTCACCCTCTATACGATTTCGTTAAAAAGACGTTTTTAAAATTTTCAAAGTCGTCTTTCGCGGTCTAAAATTTTACACAGTAAAGGAATGAAAAAACATTAAACTTTGCACACGTCTTCTTCTTCTCTACTCATTTGTTGGAACCGCCGATAGCTGTCATCAAACTGAACGATCAGAATAATGCCGTTGTGTGGTAAAGTTTTTCATTCAACGAGAAATTTTCACGAAATTTACCATATATTATTCTTGAAAGAAAAACTACATTCTATGCAAAATGTTCAGATCAGATCGCTAATACATATGCACTGGTGGCAGAAAAATAATGACGAACCCGTTGTATTATTGAAAAGCCCAAAAAATCTAGAGGATAGAGGAAAAAAAATCATACATACGTTCCTTTCAAGAAATTTAATTACCAAAATTCTCAGGATATCAAAGTCAAAATAGTAGTTGATTAAATTTGCATTTTTCTTTCTGCGACAGACCACTCAATTGTCTTTGATGAGATATGGTTAACATGCATGATGCAAATTTTGGGGTTAAGTTGTTTTGGTGCTTCTATATTCTTACATAACATATTTATTTACATACGATTCAAGGGAGAAGAGAAATACTTTACAATGAAAAATGCGTTATGAAGGTTTTTGATATTGCCAGAAAATTTGCTTTTTGGTATTGTATCATTTTCTATTCCCAATATAAATCCACTTTAAATACATAACGAAAAAGTGAAGTTAAACTACTAACATCACCTCGTTATGATTCATAAAAAATTAATTTTACGAAAAATTCACATTTAGTTCGATTAGAAGTGAATGCAAATAGTAAACAGTGTTGGAAATATATTGTCACTTTATAAGGACAGGTTATGRAAACGCGGCTGAAGTAGTTATTTTTTTTTTTACTAATATATTCAATAATAATTTCCATTAAAGTCTCAATATGTAGGTTCGTTTGTGTGTAGATAAATTAAATGCATTGATACTTCTATACATATGTATGTATATAAGAACATATGTATATATGTGTATGTAGGAGGGTAACGTGCGCAAAACTGGACCGAGGTCAATATAAATAGTTGGAATACATAAAATCAAGAATCAAGTAATATTTTATCATATAATTTTTTCTAAACTAACATGTTTATACTCTAATATGTTGTTATGCACACACTAAAACACACACACATCTAAATTAATATATATTAACATTTGTATGTATGTATAATTTTTGTTGCATTTTCGCTTTTGCTACCTTATAACCATTATCAACAGCTGCAAAAGTATTCATGAAGTTTTCAAACAATCGCATTCTAATCGCAACAGTGTCCTCCATCATTACCCTCCCCATTGAACTCTCGTTTCGCAGTGTGTTGCCTCCACTTTTTGTAGATTTTTTCTTACATCTTTATTTCCATGCAAATAATATTGACTATATAATATAACTGGGACGTTAATGATAACCTTTTGGACCGTCGTCATATACATACATATGTATACATATTTATTTATGTGTTTGACTTTCCTCATAGAAACCCCCATTGCCGTTAAAATATAAATATATTAATGTTATTGGCAAAAATAATGTGCGGTTCACTTATTTGCTTTGTATATACTATTATGTTGCAAAAATACTTTGTAAGCTTGGTTTGTTTTATGTAGATCTTGACTTCTCTTTAGATATGATACAGGATATCACCTCATAAGAGCACTTTTTCAATCGATTACAGTTGTGATTATTAATGTAATGAGTTATTCAACGATCTATCTTCTTTGTATACTATGAATAGGGTATATTAAATTTGCCACTAAGTTTGTAACACTTAGAATGAGACCTTATAAAATATTTATGTACTTATGTGTGCTGCCAAACAAACTAAATGATAAACATTAAGCTCTTGTATTCTTTAAATAACAAGATATGTTCACGAAATTTTGCATGGATTATTGTCCAATGCTACAATAAAATTTCCCAAGAAATCTATATCCATTATATAGCATATATCCGTCATACAAACTAACCTATCAAAATCAAGTTTTCGAGTGCAAACTTCTGTCAATGCAACCGAAGTTAACGTTTTTTCTTGTTGTTATTTATTTTAAGTCTAAATCGGTATTAATAATCGGGAATATTATCTCCAAATTGCAGTTAACACAATTTTATGTTGTACAAATATACTTATCTCGCTCATGTCATGTCAATAATTTATGCTGTCTGAGAATTTCAACTATTCAAACTAATTTAACATATCTCTTATTTACTTTCAGAGTGGTCCGAAGATAAAGTGCCACTACTCGATACCGACTCTATCATTGCTCACCCCAATTCAGCAACAAAAGTTTACAGCACCTTTGACAATTCTGATGCTCTAAAATCGGAAAATTTCGAAATCACAGTTCTGACCACATTAACTCCACCGCAATCTCCACCACAATCTTCTACTTCGGCAAACATCCTACAACATGCCATTGCTACGGAAGGCGTAGTTAATGTAAGCATTTTATAAATGTATACACATATATTTTTACGTTTAGTTATGCAATTTCATTTAATTTTTTAGTTCAATAATTATATACACCACTCATCGTTCCATACAACACCGGCAACAGTGAGTAGTTCCGCACCAACACCAGTAGCTACATCCACAATCCATGCAGCTCCGTCCCATGCGTTAGCATCGGCTACCCCTACAGCAACGCTACAAAATTTACATTTCTCCAACTACTATGGAGCTGCACCGTTCACACCTTCCGAGGCGGCACAAACCGACGATGACAAACGCAACTCACAGATCGTAGATGATATATTGAAATCATTCATAAAAGAATTGCCAGATTTAAACGATGAATGTGAGTCCAACTCGTCGTCGGCATACTCGACAGTATCGCGTCCAGAGTCAATTGTTACCGATGAAGATTGGTCACCAGATTCTTCTTTCTCATCATCTGCCAGTTCTTCGCCTATTTATGGCGGCTGTGATGAAGACAACTCACAACTCGTGCAGTCGAATCTATCCGAACCTAAGAAGCGTACACGGCCATATGGACGTGGTGTTGAAGATCGCAAAATTCGGAAAAAGGAACAAAACAAGAATGCGGCTACACGTTATCGTCAAAAGAAAAAAATCGAAATGGAGAACGTGTTAAATGAGGAGCAACAACTAACACAGCGTAATGACGAGCTGAAACGCATATTGGCCGAGCGTCAGCGTGAGGCCAAGTACTTAAAGACCCTCATTAGGGAGTTCTACAGCCAGAAAAAGGGCAGTGAAAGCAGTAAACATTGAAGTACCAACGACCAGCCATCAATTCAAATTTGTCATCAAATAGCTAACAAATCAACTGTTCAACAAACACCAACAACAACATTTCCAAACAACATTTTAAACATATTTTTTAACTTTGTATTTTTAATTGCTACGCAAACATTGTAATAATTCAGACAATATGCAACTAAACATCGGCATACATTGCTAGTTGGCGCTTATGACAGGATCTCTTTTGATCTTCGAACCAATTTAGCCACGTGCAAGTGCGTGTCCCTCCCAAAAGTGTGCATAGTGCCCAAATATAAACCCTAAACAACATCAACCGAATAACTATGTACACGTAGAAATTGCTTAGTTGACTCTGAATTCAATTCGGGGCACTTACAGTGCCTGCGATTAATATTACAAATAAAAGGGTTTATAATATACATATATTTTGAGTTCTTTTTTTCATTTGTTTGCTTTATACAGTTAGTATTTAAAGTATAAAATATTGAATATAGCAACRTATCTAAGACTCCAGCGTCTTATATTATCAATTTAACATTGGGGTTTTTAATTTTAAAATTCTCCATGGGATAGTTCCACTCCGGTTGCAATTCCAATTTGAGTACTCGCAAGGTAGGTAAGTGAAGTTTGTCCAAAAACTCGCCGTTCAACGTGTAATTGCCCAATATTTCTAGTTCTAATAAATTGTTACAGCTCTTGAGTAAGTCTGTTAAAAGTTTGTCCGTTAGTTGGCAATAATTCAAATTGAGCTTTTGTAACTTTGCCGCCGCGTTGCCGATGTATTGACAGTATTCTTTATTAAAATATACATAATTTAGCGAAAACACACGCAATTGCTTAGTAGCGGCAGCTCCTTTGCAGAGCGGCTGTATTATATTTAACACATTTTGTGTTGGTATTGAGTATCCGCAAGTAATGCTAATACTGTATATATTTTCACCTATTATTCGCAGTTGCTCTGCGTTGAAATTCGGGAATTCTCGTATTGTAATATTGAGCTCCTTGAATGTTGAAATTCTTTGATGTGCGATTTCCGCAAGACGTGTGTTGCGCACATCGATTACTTTAAACGCTTCCACAAGGCTGAGGTATTTGAATATTTCTATGAGACAGTCGTCGTTCAGATCAAGTAGAGATTTCATACTTACTCCTATGTTAATAACGTAATGTGAACAACGTAAAGGACTTTCTCTTCTGCGGCAAAGAAACGAAGAGCTGAGCTGAAATAAACAAGTGAAAAAAGCAGTTAAAGATTTCAATTGTGCTGCAAACTGAGTTATAAATTGTTATGATTATATAATATATTTCTTTCACCTTACTTTAAGCTACATACATACATATATATATTTTTTATGTGTGACATTTCACTGGTTGAAATATGGTTTTCAGTCGAAGTATTTTTTGTATTTTTCAGAAACTAATCGAGTCAGATAAAGAGTTACATGTATATACATACATACATATATACATATATTTAAATGGAAAAGATCACGAGATGAGTTGAGTCTTGGTTGTCTTTCTGTCCGTGCAAGTTGTAACTTGATTAAAATTTCAGTCATCGAAAATCTTGATGAACCTTGTTACATGAGAAGTTTGGTATTGTAGATGGGAATGATCAGACCACTGCCACGCCTACAAAATACCGTTGATCAAAAACTTCTACAACGTTCACCTTTGTGTGTAGTCTTTATCTAAGGAACTACTTAACCAATTTTAATTAAACTTGGTGTGTATTATTTCCATTGATTCCTATCTTACACTGTGAACAGCAAGCTTACTCCCTATATAATAAAATATTTTGCTTTTTATTTACAACTTCCGGGTACTCTTTGTCATAGAACAAAAATTTTAAATAAAATTTTTTATTTTAAATAAAATTTTTTAAATAAAACTTCCGTTTAAAAACTGACAAAATCGGACCACGACTTTTAAAGGCCCCAGATTCAGAATATGTGGACCCAGAGCCTATGGCTGACTTGACAATCTGTGATTACTGGCATTGTTATTCGGAGAGAATATTTGTATTATAACAGCATGCCTTTGTGCAAAAAATGCATGAAATCGGATTAATATTTTGAATATAAGAACCCAAATACACAGTATAAGTATTTAAGGCTTTTGGTTGGCTTTATATCGCATATGTACATATATCGGTCAATTTGTAAGGTACCTTTTATGGATTACTTGAGTTAATTAAGTATTGTAATGCCAAACTTTAATGAAATCAGRCCAGATATTCGACAAGTTCTAAAATACTCAAAATGGTAATTKCCATCCAACTGACTTTAAAGCGTTTATGTCAGTCATATGTGTGATATTTTATTGAAATTATTATGATTTTCTACMTGTGAAAGTTTGACAACGGGTTGAAAACCATAGCACTGAGTTTCAAAAATTTAGCCCATTTGGCTAAATTTATATCACATACATTTATCTAATGTGAAGATGATTTTAATATATTTTTAGATGACGGAAGTAAAATATACATAGCAGTAAAATTTGGAGAGTCTATGATTTATAATATAATATTTTATAAGTTAACAAATTAATCAACATTGTTTAATGAGAATATGTAAAATTCTTCACCAAAACTTAAGTCTTCCTTGCTTGTTTTAATAGTTTTCCATTAAGATTTAAAAAACATAAAGCTACACTAATAATAAACGAGTATTTTATTCACYACATATGAGAGTAATAGGTAAATGAATGAAAAACAAGTAAGGATGCGGGTGCATTCGGAAATTTTATACTTTCACAATCTGCGACTCRCACAGTCGGGCGAATGGAAAAAACAGCGCAATAGTGTGTCTATTCTTTCTAAAGGAGAAACTATATTTTTTACGTTAAAAACGTTATAAGTTTAWTTTTTAATAATATAAGAAAAAAACGATATTTGTAATTTTATTTTTCATTTGAACCGTTCAAAATAGTAAAACAGGTCTGAAATATTAAAAATAAATTGGTAGTATTGAAGATAGCGGCTRTACGTATGTATACGTACCACATTAATGAGGTCTCTCTTGCATGAATTCAACGCGATAGCTTTCGGTCGTTCCTTTTACGTGAAATTTTTTTAAATAAAATTCATCTCAATTAGTTTAAGGTTTTTCAAACAGGTGAACAAAACTATTATACATATAAAAATAATAAATTGAGATATCATAATCAACCTATAGGGGTTCCTTTGCAAAAAGTGAGAATGCCTTTGTAGACGGGCGTAATAGAACCACTGCGACGCCATTAATGACATAACTAAGCACTAAATTAMGATACAAAACTGTAATTTGGGACAGGATAACGCAGTATTTAGGCGATTAGCCAACAGGTAAACAAAAAAAAAAAAATGGCCCGGCCTCGCTCTGTTAAAGGTTTAATGCACATATCTCCTAAACCAGTTAAGATGCAATAGTCAAATTTGTTCAAGTCACTTCGGCACCTACCGGCACTGTAAAAAGGGATGACATCGGATAATAAGACCAATGTTAGGTATATTCAGATAAAATCCTTATCTAATAATATGTAATATTTCTATTTTTCCAAAAATGGATAGAATCGGATCAATAATACCCAATAGAAATATGTTCGAACTTCCGACTGAATACCGCAAATATCGGTCAATATGTGAGTTATCTTAATAAAATTGAAAAAGCGTGTTTTTCTGGAAACATTGTATTTTTAGATATGAAATGTATGGAATCAGGAAAACTGGCCCTAACCGCTATATAATTAAGTTTAGGATTTTAAAGCATCCTGTTGATTTTGTGCCTCATATATTGGTAGTGGTATGTRAGGTACCTTAATKAAACTAAGAKATAMTCTTTTTTTCTGTTAATAATATGTGGTAAGTGCAAAAATAGATAAACGCGTTTCAATACTATCCCAATCTTTAATATACCTAATATAAGATTTTCAAACTTTAAACCGTATATATCGGTCAATATGTAAAAGACTTAACAAAATTATCATAATGTATAATATTGAACAGAGTATAGTTTAAAGCCAAAAATATGTGGTATTGGACTTCGAATTACTCAAACCCTATATTCTACGTACAGGTATATTGACTTTCGTTACACTAACAAACCCTATTCTATTGGTCAGTATAAAAGTTATATATTTAAACAAACTCTTGAAAATATTTTCTTTAACATATCTGAGCAATGAACCTGAGTGAAATCAGCCCAGATCTTTATTACCACCTCGCATCAYACTTACGTAAGTACGAACTTCCATCTAATGGGGATTTTCTGGCTAAAGTTATTTGTTAGGTACTTTTTGTGACAAGTCGATGTTTGTATATTATTTATATTATGAAGAATAGGTTTTAGGCTATTTTACGAGAATAACACACCCCAATTAAAATTATATAGGTATATCTTTATGATCGTTCGTTAGTTAGTCCATAATCTAAGGGTTTATATGTAAATGTGACATTTTTACTGATATTGCGTTGAAGATTTAACTTAAGATATATGGTCCTATTTAATAAGTCCTCGCTTATAGTCTTGCTGACGAGGGAAGGTACAATCTTCTACTTAGAGTGTACAACTGCTGACGTACGCYGATGATATTGATATTAGTGTGAAGCTAGACGAAATATCTCCTGTCATCAAACAAACAGTCGTCGCATTCGCGACTTGTCTCCCACGTCACTTTTGACAATCAAAACTTCGTAGTCTGACTGAGACTGAGTAGACAATTAACACTAGAAAAAGCTTAAAAATTTGATTGTTATTTATTCCAGAGTTTTATTACGACTTTTAATAAAATATAAAAACAGTTAATTATTACTATTCAATTTCCCCTCACCGACTTTAATTTCCATAATCAGTATGACCTATTTATATCAAGACCCGTCAAAATGACGGTTATAATAATTTATATATCATCTATGCAATGATGGACATCAATACATATACTATATATACATATACGTTCATTACATCGTAAAAACAGCCAATGGATTGTACTCCAGAAAACTAAAAACAAMAAAGTCCTTATGAACGCAAATCTTGACAATTCGATTGTGCAATAAAAACAGAGCGTGCATGCAACAAATATGTTTATAGCAAGTGTTCAACTAATACTACATAACATGTACATGTAAAATATGTGCCTCATTCAAATAGAAACTGTTTTTGTGTTTTTTTTTAATAAATAATCAATGAATTATTATATTAAATGTTGTTATTGCTAAATTGTATTTTTCTATTTACTTAAACTAACTCAAACGTTACTATGAAAGCCATAATCAAAAATTCGTCAATTTGACGGGTGCGGTAAAAGTAGGTATACTATATTTAAGATCGGTAGTAAGTCCTCTCTCGACGAACAAATATCAAATTCTAGTCACCCCCGTCCTGATATGWGGTGCAGAGGCATGAACGATGACATCTAATAAGTCGGGGTTAACAGTTTTCGAGAGAACATTTCTGCGGAAGATTTATGGTCCTTTGCGCATTGGCAACGGCGAATACCGTAGTTGATAGAACAATAAGCTGTACGAGATATACGACGACAATGACATAGTTCAGCAAATTCGGAGACAGCGGCTATGCTGGCTAGGTTATCTCGTTCTAATGGATGAAAACACTCCAACTTTTTATTCAGTTAAATTTTTAACGGTCGTATTTATTATTAAATATTATATCATAATTTTAGTAAATTGAAGCTGGTTTTTTCGTTTTATTATTAAATCGTACGTTTTGCAATTATTTTTGATTTCTTTTAAAGTTCACACGTTTTCGTGATATGTATAAGAAAAAGTTAAACAATATTCGCTAGCCTTCAGGAGGTTGGTGAATCTAAACTATTTCACAAATGCAAAGTAGTCAACTTTAAAGGAGTATTTGTAAGAGGTTTTAGCTATATACTAGATATTTACCAATATTATGAACCGATTAAAAATATATGTTAAAGTATTATACTATACTCATTTCAAGCAATACCTATATTGTATTTATGTATTAGAATATAATAAATATATTTGTAAAGGGTATTCCAAAATTAACGCAAGATTAGAACTAAGTAAAAACACAGTTTTAAGTCCTTCGAATGCAACTTTTTTATTGAATCATGAAGTTCATAGGATTATGAAATAACACTCCTCCACGGCTTTCCATGCACATACTCACTCGTTTGTCTAACTTTTCTTTGACTATTCTGCATAAATATAGCTAAATTTCATGCAACGTTGAATCTTCTTCTTTAGAGCACGTGG